GTGTGTGTGTGTGTGTGTGTGTGTGTGTGTGTGTGTGTGTGTACACTTGTTTTTGTGTCATTTTTTTGGACCAAAACCAGTAAACCTTATTGAGACCGAAGTCCAGTCCTAGTATGGTGGAACTCCATTGGGGGTTAGGTTTAAGACTAAGATGATTTGAGTTTAGGTAAGATATGTATAGGAGGGGTAGGATTAAGAGGTCTGGGTGAGACTATAGAAACAACTGGAAATGAATGGAAGTCAGTTAAAAATCCCAATAAGGATAGAAATATAAATGTATGTGAAAGTGTGCCTACATCAGCAAGTGAAAACAGGTGTGACCTACTTCATCTTTTTAGCTACTTACTGGGAGTTTATTAAACAAATGGCCTGTCTGTTGATTGTGTAAAAATATAAAAAAAAAATAGAAAATTACACAATATCATGCCTCCCCTCTCACTAACATGGCACGTCATATTCTCAATGCACGGAGACTGTCGTAAAGCAGTCAAATTTATAAGCCATTTGGTGTGACATCACCAAACCCCTTAAAAATCATAAATAAATTACACTGAAATTATTGTTGTTTTTTAAAATAAAAAATAATGTATTTATTGCTTGTTTGTTCCTCAGTCCATTGTTATTCAATGTAGAAAAACCCAGGTCTCCTAGTGTTCTGCAAAACAGCATTGGTGGCTATTCAGGCCATTTCCTGGCTGCTTGACCAATATGACGGATTGCCATGCTTTCAGCACTCAGACTTTAGACTTGAGTGAGCTGGGACTGGGTCTGCAAGCGGTTCTTGAGGGTCGCGGGCCGGCTGTGGTTCCTGGACTTTGCTGGCGAGATGGAATTGATCTTGAAGAATCTGACTGGATTCACCACCTTGACATGTACCAGTGGACATTAAGGCAAATGGAAAATTGTTATTGTCTGCCTGCCCAAAAACAACTTCTTCTGTTCCCCAAACAACTGATAATAGATTTCATGTCGACTTGAGGCTCCTCCCCCACCTCTCCCATCTCACTCCGTTTAATCTGATCTCCTGCAGGTCAGCCTGGACCTGCAAAGAATGAACAATTCAACACCAATATTCTGAACTGATTGCTGAACTACGGGTTTTTCGTTTTGGAGGCTGGGTTCTTCGGACTCATTCCCTCTAAACTCACTTACTCCTCTGGCTAATAAATGTGCTCTTGCTTGTTGAGGTTTTTTTTTATAAACACTATAGTGTATCATATTTTGTTGATGTAATATGATGTTTTGTATTGTTTTTCCTCATCCAACCTTCTGTGTTTTAATTTTTTTCATTTTTCTTTTTAAAGGTACCCCTGCTGGTTGCTGCATGACCTGATCACCTGCTCCCCCATGTTTTTGTCATGTGTGTGTCTTCTTGAATGGGTGTTCTTAAATGTAATTTCATTGTGCTCTGTACAATGACAATAAAGGCATCATCAATTAAATCTACTCAATACTGCAATTACAAATTTTTATTTGATGTTCAGTGATATAACTTTTTAATTATGTGTTTGGAGAGTGGGGTGGGGTGTTTATGTATTTTTATTATTAATTGCAAAATGTCTTTATTTTTCTCCTTCTGTTATTTTCTTTTCTTATTTACTGTTGGACGTTGTTTTGTTTTTATTGTCTGGAGGAAATTAGCCTTAGGTTAAATCTGGTGCAATGCACCAAATGTTTTTATGTTTATGTTTTAAATGCACACTATCCTGGTTAAATAAATTAAATTAAAAAAAAATTGTCTGTCTAATGTGCCAAACAAGCTAAATCATGCCAAGAGGTCAAAAACACAATCTTTTTTTAACTTTAGTGCCCAAGCTTCTATATGTAACAGTTCAAACTGAAAAATCAACCTAAAAAAATATTKAAGTAAGGCAGTAATGTTTGTTCTTGATATAATTATTTAAAATGTCAAAGGACAGACTTATTGTGATGACAGTGGAAGTCTGAGTCTCCCCCGGTGCAGACAGCTGACTATAAATAGATACACAGACAGTTATCTATAAAACTCCCCTCGCCCACTCTTTATTACCCTCTCTGTAAAACTGCACAGTCACTTCCATAACTCAACAGGTCATTAAAGCACATGATTATTAAATATAAGAGACACAATCTTCAAAAGACACAAATAAATTCATAAACTGTGAAATTAATTTTATAGCAGGTTTGACACGTTCACTGGTCCCTTTGTGACATTTAAACTTAGCACAGAGTGAAACAGAGAAAGAACAAATCAACCACTAACACTATGATACAAATACTCACACCAACTTCAGACCTTGACCTTTGTTTCTGAACCAGAGCAGCAGACCCACCAACAACCCGACACAGAGGAGCCCCAGGGCTGAGGAGACACCAGGGTACCACATCCTCACTGTAACTGTGTCTCAGAACCAAACCACAGCAGATTTGAGCTGCATTAATAGCTTTGACATCACTTCTTAAAGCATGTCGAGTACGCAAATACAACCATTCGTCTGTCCGATCTGAGGGTGAACTTTCTCCAACATGAAGATTTTTGGATTTAAAAAGCAAGATGAAGAAGATTAAATACTTTGAAATTAAATGAATAAAAATTTATGAATTTCAGGAGATACTGTATGTTAGGTTTGTGTGTGTGTGTGTGTGTGTGTGTGTGTGTGTGTGTGTGTGTGTGTGTGTGTGTGTGTGTGTGT